GGCTTAAGCCTTTTAAACTGGTGGGACGATTAAACTTCAACTTCAACTTCAATGAAATACTTCACAAAATCTTCTGTTGGACATAACATGAAGGTGCTGGGTGAACTGTACATGCGCGAGGTCGGATGTTTCTCCTAAACGTGAAAAGTTAAAAGTCCAACTTGTATGTACACAATACATTGAGTGTCTCGGGTTACAAACCCACAGTGTAATCAGCAAATGGACTGCTCCTCGTGTACAAAATAAACAAACGATTCCAATAAACAATTACGCGTGGGAAATGAGTCTTGATACACGTTAATTTTACAGTGGTATGGTATAAACTTTCTGCTGTGACGAACTGATGGATCTGGTAGTATGGCCAGTTCAGCTGCTGTATCATAAGTGTAATACAGGGTTCTGATAGTTATATAGCTTGCTAAGTACGAATCTAGCTGCATTACGTTGGATCTGTTCTATTTGTTTCACTTGTGTTTTATGCTACGGGTTCCAAATTGTTGAACTATACTCGAGCTTCGATCGTACTAATGTTTGACGTATAACGCGTATAGCAGTGGGAGGAAACCGGAGATAGCGTTTATTCATTTAGACGGTAATGACACCAGCGCTTGTTTTGTGTGATATAGGGGGGTAAATGGAACAGCCAGACATCGATAATCGCATTTGAAATAAATTTCCCGCGATACAACTCATTATTTTGAAAAACAATCAAGTAATATGCCCATTTAGCATCATTATATTGTAGTATTGGGTAGTATGTTGCGATATTGGGGTGGTATTTGGTGGCATTGGGTAGTATTGAGTAAATCGTCCCGCCAGTTCTAAGCCTATCTGTGAAAAACCTGTACAAAGTCGATATTTTCCATTCATATTTCTACATAGTTCCGGCTTGGATTTTTTTGGGGGTAGGCGACTCTGGGGGTTTCCATTCTTTAGACTGAATTTTGGATTATGTTTGAAAGTGATGAAACCGGGTTTCATCAGTGGTTACAAATCTGGCCAAAAATGACCCAGATTCTAAAGGAACGTCAGGAATCTGACACAACTCTGACCCACAGTCAAAAGCTTGGGCATCCGTCTTACAGAAACTTTTGATAATGTACTCAACCCTCATGAGATTTGTCCACGACATTGGCAATATGTCGACTGGTCAATCATCGATCAGCCTTCAATCACCATATCATGCACTTAGGTAAGTTTTTGTGAATGGTTTCTCTGTTGTTGCCCTTCCAGGACGCGGGTCATCAAGGCTCTCTCCGCCACGTTTAAATTTAGCAGCCCACTTCTTTACTGTGGAAAAGGAGGGGCATCATCCCCTAAAGTGGAGATCATGATCCTGTCGGCATGTAAATATTACGCGAATCCCCCGTTCAACTGTTACTCCACCCCATCCCCTCCTTTTTTGAACGTGATAGAGTCTACCGATGTTTTTTAAATGGATTTATTTTTAAATTTTATGTGAAGCATTAGTACTTAAAGAGGGTGAACCTTGTTGAATTTCAGATTTGCCATGAAGCATTCGGATAGGACACGATAAACACAGTTGATATGCAGCATTCTAGGACTTTATGTTCAAGAGATGTAATACGTGTCTAGAAAATCTTGTGAACGCGATATAGATCAGATTACTTGAAGGCATAAAGGAACCTTATCAAGAGTATTTCTACTCTTTGCGTAGCTATCACTGTATTTAAAAGTATTAACAAAGAAAACTATAATTGACCTACTATAGCACAGTGTCTTTTTCTCTCAATGGTATTATAACATACTGCTAGTTCGTTGATTTTTTATAGATAAGATCTATGAAACTTTTATGGGTTCTAATGTAGTCTTATTATTTGGCAACTATATTTCTCCATTGATTTTAAACTTAATTGTAGTTTCTTGCTTGGTTTTAACTTTTCTCCAAATTTCCTTTGGGTTGAATGCTTTCAGACTTAAATGGAGTAATATGCGTCTAGCCCAAAAGCATGTATGGAGTGTTGACGATGGGAATATTGAGATACATAAACTGGTGGTAGCATACTAGTAATAACCAACTTCTAAACTTTTATTTGCTTCCTATGTATTTTAATAAAATGTTGATGAAACAAAATGACAATCAGAGCGTAATGGCACAAAAAAAAAATAAAAAAAATAAAAGAATAACTGCAAACGTGGTGACGCTTTAAATAAATGTGTATAATCAATTGGGTTATGATTTTTGTGGTTCAATTCCAATTCCACCTGAAGAAAAGTACAAAGGGAGATAACTACAAAAATATTTTTCTAAAATCAAACCAAAATTTAAACAAATTGACAAAAAAGGGCAAAGCTCGTGGGGTAGTAGAGCGGAATCGAGTGATCTAACGTGTGCGATTTAGATCATAAGGTCTGCCATTGAGTTAAGTGGAGTGATTTCGTTCCCACGCTTGTATATGACAACGGTCGCCTGTCCAATTTCGTGTTTTTTTGTCGTATCGAACTGATGTTTTCGTGACAAAACTAACAAGGGCAACCAATTCAACTGAAATGGGCGGATTTAAAATCAAGATATTGATTTTTTTAAAGAAAATGTCACTAATTTGAAATATTTCATTTTATGCTCTTAGGCGCGATTTGTAATGCGATGAACAATACTAAACGTCAGTGCGTAAGTGAAATCACAAACCGTACTTCCGATGCAGACTGGACAAACAAGGTGCGAACGGCTACCATTCAATTTGGACTGCTTATTAATTTCAATGAACTGACTTTAGAAATTACAATAAAAGTATTAAAAAATGAATGTAATTTCAGTTTATATCCACTCATATTACATTAGTATGTGCTTTTTGGCACATTTTAGTCCATTTTAAGTTCCAAAGTATATGGTACCAGCTCCCTTTAAGTTATTGTTTTATCTGCCATACAAATTTATGTTTGCTAATATTCATGACAGCTAGGCAACATTCGTTTCCAAAGCAGAGAAAGTGCACACAGACAATATCGGAGACAACACGAAATCAATTATATTAAAATTGTAGTTTTAAACCTAAGATGTGATCTTTGGGGTAATGTTCATTATATAGAATTACTTCCCTTTCATCAAATCACACCAATAAGACCTGTAACTGACATGGAGTTGAAAATCTGTATTTCCCTTAACTTTTAAGTTGTCTGGCCTTGTGAAACAATAAGTCTTAAAATTTGTCATGAACTTTCTTAAAACTTTGCATAGTTGTTACACAGCCACTATTCTCGACCTAGGTTTGGTGCCATTTGCGATGCGCATGCCCATGTTTATCGGAGTAAGTTAGAGTATAAGGTCCGTTTGCTTTACAGACCCAATACTGACTTCATATTATCTTGGGCCTTATTGGTGAAAACTTAAACTGAAAATTAAGAATTATCAGTGGTAAGGCTAATCAGAAGTCGGCTTGTTTACCAATTTGAGTTTAATTTCTGGCTTTAATTTGTGTCGACAGTGGAACATATCTACACACTGGCTTTATCCATAGACGGACAATTTTCTACGTAGATAGATTTTTAACCTACAAACATATAGAAACTACAAACTAACACTTTTAAATATTTTTTTATTCTTTTTTTATTTTTTTTTTGTCCAGCCAAAGAGGTCTAGTCATTAATAAGGCTCCAGGATTTTAACCCACATTGTTATAGGTCGAAAAACTATTGTCCTCAATCCAATTTCTTAATCCAATTTGGCTAATTCTGAAATATTCGTTTAAGCCTCTTTTCCAAAAGGCGCCAATTCACGCTATCATCGACAAATTGAGATATGGGTTTGTCTTGCAAATCGTAATGGTTTTTGTACACAATTCTATCGATTGAATGTCATTTTCCTCTTTAAAATCATTGGTAGCAGCTGCATTGAACCATTAAACGAGATGTAATACTGGATGTAAATGCAAATCACTAAACTAATTTTCAGCTTTGTCAGTTTAATTGAGGTGAAGAACCAGGATTAGAAATCTAAGTCATACCACCAACATCTCTTTATCGATATGGCTAAAACATCTAAAATATGTCGTATAAACCAGAAATGTTTAGTTTTGTATAGCGGTCAAAATTATACAGCTCGGGTTGGGTTTTCACACCACAGAAGATCCGGGCAGCCAAATGTACAACTTATACATCTTCATTAGCCCGTTTCGTGCAGAACGGTAGGTCGCTAAACCCCATTGCGTTTCAATTAATATTGCATTCACTGTGTAGACCGATTTAGTTACTGCAGCGTATTGGTGTGACCGGATACACAGCTCTTTAATTCAACAACCCCCACAAATTTTTTGAGCATGATGATTATTTGTCTGTTTGCTTAATGAAAGAAACGTGAAAATGTCGTTTAAGATGTTTGAAAATGAACACAACCCAGGCACAATGGTCGACATTTAAATCCAGACCTTATTTCGTTTCGAAAGCATAACAGTCGAAACCAAATTTCAATTATTTTGACATCCTTTACCTACCTAGACTTCTGGTAATTTGGAAATCTTAGCACCCCATTACATTCTCATATCACGGTGTAAATAGCCTTCGGTGTGTCATTTTAATACTCAACAAAGCGGCACAACAAATGGTGTGTCTGATGTGGAATAAATAATAAATATAGCCTAAGATGACCAAACTAACAGTGGTGCAGGACGGAGAGCCTGACAAGGACAGCTGTCTAGTCGTTCGGTTGGGACGAAAAGCCGAGGTCCCGTGTATACATTGGCGTGCACGTAAAATACCCATTGGCAATTGAAATTCGATATACGAGTAGGCCATAGTGAAGCTGCCCGGGCAAAATTTCCTCTCGTCGCACACTGTATGACGTATACCCGTCTTCATTAGCCCAGTATAGGAGCAGAACAATAGAACGTTAAACCCCATTTCATTTCATTTCATTGGTCCAACCCTTTATGACACAGTGGCCATTAATCCAACTTTTATTGGCCTAGTTCGTATTAATTAATCATTTGTCCCACTAACACACCCGAATAGATGGCCAACAAAACCTAGATAGATTAGTAAATATTTTATTTAATACTCTGATTTAGCATAATTTTGTGTAACCAAGTGAATGATGATAAAATGACAATTTATATTTACAATTATTGTACAAATTCTTACATTATTACACTATAAAAAGTGATAAACATAAACATGCTATGACTACTAATAAACCCATCCTTAAAATTGTCTGCAATTGATTAATAGTGATCTAATAAGAAAAGAGACCGTTTTTAGTGCGCCCCCGTGTGTGGAGCATAAAACCGTTATGGTGAAAGTCATTTTTTTGGTATTTGAATTGCTTAGATAAAAGTGTGTTTTTCAACAAACACCAATGGTTATCTGATCTTTTATATAGCTTCTTCTGATTTTACAAATATGAAGTATTTTACTTTTATTTTTTTTATCTTTTCAGGTTAAACAAAGCAATGAAAACCAATAAACAAAATGTCTTCCTCCTTTTTTCACTAATATTATTATAAATTAATGTGAAAGATGCACGAGATCGTAGATCGTTATCATTATTGTCTATAACCCCTTTGTCAGGTCACCAATAAAATGTCGAATAAATAAATTGTAGTATTCTCACTTCTAAACGGCAATCAAACACAAAGTCCATTGATACAAAAAGAAACAATAATATAATCGTACATATAATAATAATACACTGTTTTGCACACGTCACTCACTGCTACTACAATACGCACGTGAGTACATACAGAAACCGTGTTAATTTACAGATATGTCGTGATGATATACGAAAAGGAGACAAATAGGGTTGAACATCCACTCGACACCAATACGATCATTTCGGGACTAACGACATTTCCTTGATTAGCGTTCTTGGAATACAGTTTTCAGCTCATGATAAATGCCAGTTATAATCATCGATCCCTTTTATCCCGTAAAACTCTACCTACTCCCACCCCCTCATCACATCATATTCGTGTGTTTCTGTAGCAACATGCACTTTGTAAAACAAGCTATATAAAAAAAAAAGATAACGGGCATATAACTGGATATAGCTGGAAGACGATTGAAGATTAACGTTTACATATCCCAAAGGTAAAGATACTACACGTATTTTCACAATCAAGGACGGTATAACTTTTACAATTATCTTTAAAACAAAACTTAGCAGGAACACAAAATAGTTATATGAATTAAACCTAATGTAAATTATATGTACATATTTATATAATATAACCCAGTTCAATAAGAATTGACCTCTAATTTCTACAACCAGATAAGTACTGATGCAGTTATCCGAAATTGAAAAACGTATGATGCATTCGAATTACATTGTTTTGAAGACTACGTTTGCAAGTACTAAATGTGACTGTGGCGCCATTTCAGATCAACTCATATCAGCGACCTACATGCCTTTTAAAATTAGAGAACAAGGCTTAATAAACAGAGCTTAACCTATCAGTGTCATAGCTGTATCGTTTGAAGGGCACAGTTCATAAACACATAAATCACACAATCTTTCAAAAGATAGATTATTGTTACAGTTACATTATCATAAAAGTAAAGAATTTGATGTTCACGAAAAGCAGTCGTGCGTGCGGGTTATACACCAACCTCTCAGATCTCCAATCTCCCATTTAATAGTCGTTAAGTGAAATTATCATGGTCAAAATCAAGTTATTAACGAAAATTATTTTCCAGAGACATATCAGTTTCATCATACACAGTACACATTTCACTGTGACCGTCTCCGTGGTTTCAATTTATACAAAAATTAAAGCGAACAACGAAAAGGAAAATTATTTCTGTTAATTTGATGCAGGGGACCATACATCTCATTAAATAGTTAGAATGCGTTGAAAGAAGTTAAAGTGTGAATAATAAAGTTCGCCAGTCTAAATAAAGGGCAAAATATACAGGCCTATTGCATCGCATATATTTACAAATCATACGGTATAAAAACGATAAATCACATTGGATGTATACGATAAGCTGATTACAAATTCACACAGTCTTAAGATTTTTACTTTTTAAAAAATCCGTCTATCGGTCACACCCTCTCTATTTCTCCACATTACCATTTATACTAAATATTTACAGTTTTACAATTTATTACAAATCTGGTTTCATTAAAGGTTTAACAACGAGAATAACTATGGAAGACACGACAGCCACAATTAAAAATATCCAGAACAGCAGACGATCCATCACGTGCGCCACAAGCCGCCATTCTTTTACAATGTCTAAATGCGCGTCTTCAGAATCTTGTCGAGCAACCAGGACTTTTAAATGACTGGTCACTCTTTCGCTTTGTTCAGACTTCCGGTCACGTGGCACTATTAATCCATTTGGAGGACGTCCACCATTACAGTTCCCACTTTCAATATTTTCCATAAAAGTTGACAGACATACGTCATCACTTGGGTTCTTTGCAGATTGTGCCGTAGAACACATACACACTGCCCGGGCTAAAATATTAATCACTAGCGATTTCATCCACCGTGGAACTGGCTTTTGATGCGGTCCAACGTGATGAAGTTGCAAAACAAAAACTGTCAGTATAATAGACATTGACGTCATTGCCATGGTGACTGTTAAATAAATACCTGAAAAGATACAATATATTATTGCTATTATATTATTACATTAAATGACCCAGGGATAAAAGTCAACACAAGCTAAAGGTTGTATAGGTGTATGGTCACAGATAACTAATGATTTCCCCATTGACTTTAATGTTAATTCTCGTCTCTTAGACCGCCTCTAATTTTTCCAAAAATTTTCGTTGGGTAGAACGCTTTCTACCACAGATGGAGCAACATGTGGCAACCTCTTGCCCAAAAGCACGTATTAGGTTCTTCCTGAAAAACTTGGGATACACAAGCTGGAAGCAGAGACAGATAAACATGCAATTTTCGGCCCTACATTTCAACCTAACCAAACTCTAAACTCTTGTATCCTTCCGCCTCAAAATTATGAATATTCACCAAAACCTGGCAGAAAATGTATTTTCAAACCCTTTTCTTCGATTCTACACCAAAACATCAACAAAAATCGACATGCAAAAGGGGGGAAGGAAAGGGAGGAGTGACGGCGTAGAAATATTGGATGAGGTGTCCGTGTTCATCATTATTAGTGCGATTTCTTTATGCAAACAAACTATCGCCGCGTCGTCGATTCATTTTCTTTAAATTGTGTATTTTTCATACCTGAACGAGTGTAATTTAAGTGAGCTAAAACCCCTTGCGTTTGATTAGAATAAAGTATTTATCTGGTATGTAAAACACTATACGATTAAATTTTGTTCAAAAAGTATGAGCGGAAGTCGGCTTGTTTGTTAACTATAATTTTATTTCTGGCTTACAGGGTGGACACAAGGGCTAACTATCTGTCATATATCAACACATAAAATCTAATGTAATTGACAACTTTATTTTTAGCCCAAATTAAAGAGGTTTAATCATGTGAAGGTGGACAACACCCCTTCACCAATTTGCCCCGGAGGGGATTCATGCTAATGGCATTAACCCTCTTATCGTTTTTATCTATTGTGTATACATGTATATATATGTATATATATCACCTATGTCTTACGTCAAGCTTTATTGTAATCTTCACAGTTATTATATATAAAAATCGATTAACAGTGATATCGGTCAAGGTCGCCTGTACTACACGGTCCCGTTAGACCAATGTTTCTCAACCAGTGTGCCGCGGCACACTCGTAAGTGTGCCGCGGAATTTTGAACGGCACACCAAGAAAATGCGAAAAACCACATGATCCCAATTGAGTATTCGCTGGTTTCCATTGATAAGTTCATAGCTGTGTTTTTCTTTATTTAGTTCGAGTCAGTCTATGTGTCTATGACTAGTCTCTGTCTACGGTTGTATGCCGCCTGACTTGCCATGTTTTTACTTTGCGAAATTCAGATGTTTTTCATATGTATTTGGCCAGGTGTGCCGTTATGTTTTCTTGTGTTTCAAGGTGTGCTGTTGGCAAAAAAAGGTTGAGAACCTCTGCGTTAGACTATTAATAGTTGCTATTGCTAGCCAGTATTAAAGATTTAAACACATATTCGAATTTTGTTTTTAAGTATGGTAGTCGCGGTGGCTCAGTGGGTAGTAAGACCTGGGGGTACTGTGTTGGCCGAGGAAATTCATCTGGATTTTACTGTGTACCCCCCCCCCCCCTTCAACCCCCGCCCCCTTCCTTCCGCCCGCCACCTGATCAGAGGTCCATGACAGAGAATCTAACAAAGGGACAGTTTATAGTCTTTGGGAGAAAAACCTAGGTCCCGTATACATTGACGTGGACGTAAAAGAACCCTCGACATAAAGAATTAGAATAAGGGAAAAACGGGCCATAGTGCAGTTGTCTGGCAAAATTTCACTTACAGTACAGTATGGCCTCTAAACTCCACTTGATCTTTTAGCACTGATGAAATGTGCGACATTTTAAAATCTGTTGTCATAAACGTGACCTACGTTTTCAGTTCCACCCTGATGCCAAGACGCTTTTCCTAGTCAGGTTCTCCGCCCTGTGCCACCGACAAGAAAAAACCCAAGGAACTTTATTATCCAACATCATGATCGAACCCGAGGCATACTGGTTTGTTTTACCCTAGTAACGAGGGATATCTAAAGGAAAATGGTGAGATGTTTAATTACTGTTAGACCCCATGACTAACCTATCATTTTCATAGATTATCCTATACATACAGATACGATCAGTAGACCAATCAAAGTTTTAATACACAGGATCATCCGATGTCATCGTTTACTCATTTACAAATTATCTATGGATTTTACTTGCTCTCATCGGCTTCTCTTGGGAATTCTGTGACACTATGAAGGATTTTAAGCGCTCAAAAATGCGTCTGGGAATAACACAACCGTGTCACGTAAAATTCTCAATTAAAATGTCTACTTTTTTATCCCGAAAAGATATTTTGGAGGCAGTCGGAATAAATTTCATGACAAAATTCAACCTTTTTATTCGAATCATTCAGCCAGATGACTTAACGAGTCTAATTTCGTAGAGATAGTGCTGTGAATAACTTAGTTAACAGAATAAAGGGGTGCCAGTACTCGATTATCCAAAAGAACATAGTCATCGGATAACAACTCTTAGCATCACTGGTATTTTGAATCAGTTAGTAATTTAGACTCTGGTGTCTGTTGTATAATAATTGCTATTATATCAGAGAATTAATAATAACTTATTCATATATCTAATAAATGTTGTACATAAAATTTTGTATTCATGTGATATATTCCTATAATGCATGCTGTTTATGAAACATCAGACACCACTTCGAATTTGATACGCCAATATACGTGACTAATTTTATACGCCACAAAACGCCTTTGCTTCGGAAACTGCTTTTACAAACACCTTTCACTGTGAAACATTTGCTTTCGTCAATACACAGAGATTGAATCGCTCTATCAATATAATAAGCCATGCTGTTGTGTTGCGGTGATGTTTAAAATATCCACGAATAATAATCACACCATTTAATTATTATTTACAATATTTATTGAGTGGTTGCAATGCTTGTCTTTTATTTAGATAAATACAAAACTTAATATAATCGTTTTGTGGCCCTCTTTACTTCAAGAACAAAGAAACCGAATTTCTGTTTGATATTACCGCCAATATATCTTATATGGCCTTATTCACAAGGTAAGTCCTTGAAATGGCATTCAATGATAAATTTGACGACGATATACGATAAATGGCTCATAAACATGGTTCAAAAGTCGATTATAAAAGTTTATTAACACGTGGACATGGTTTTAAACGACGGTTCACGCAATATCTGAATCGTCACTGTCATTTATATAGACAGGCTTCATCACCTCCTCTCATTCAGTATTCATTTTAGACTAATCCTTACCACGTTACGGAGATGAGTTTTAATGGAATCGGATCTTATTACATCCATTTCTGATTATACAAAAGCTAAACAGGTTTATCATTTACATGATTGTCTGACAACCTCGTGACTCTTCTACCCACAATAAACAAGACGATACACTGAACAACAAAAGAAACGACGTATATACAGATATTTTTGTTTCAAGTAATTGGCACAATTTCTTAGCCCCGAACGTGGATCTCTAATGAAGTTGTATCGGGTGTTCTGAAAATTCAGCTATGTCCTGCTATATAGCTAAAATATAGTACCAACAGAGACATATAAAAAGAAAGAAAAGGGGCTTAACGTAAACTCGATATTTGTATTCCGAGGGGAGGGGGCATTGGCAGCTGGAGGAAACCAATGGACCCAGAAAAAACCCAACAACATTTGGTACGCTATCCCACTCATTGTGGGTATAAGCCCTGGGATCAAATCTACGCCGCTAGCCACAATAACAGACCCTACGGTCGAAAGCGCACGCGATAGACTACTTGACCCTCGCCAAGTTGACGTATACTAATATCACCCTTTAAATCACAAACTCGACGTTTCTTTTGTAAATGAAGATAGATTGTGGAGAAAATTATACTTTCAGGGCCGTGGAAGTGTTATCTATAGTCCATGGCATCTTCTTATGAAATAACAATATATCTTGTGTATTTATTTACGATGTTCCGCGTGTAATAATTGAGCAATTGTGATGTTAATGGAAAAATTAAACAAAGAAGTTAGTTAGGATGCAGGCCGTTTCAACATCAACAATTTATTATCCAATATTTAAAAGTATTATTCTAGAGTTTAATATAACTGTAGGAAATAATATGTTTGCCAATATTCAAATGTATGATACTCTAGAATATGACATTTTCCGGGAGTTATTTTTTTGGGATACAAAAGAGAAATAAATAAAGTTCACAAGAGCATACCATGAATTATCTAATGCCGTTCTGGTTATATAATATGACACACGTTGTGCGGGTTTGTACATTTTCTATGAAACAAAACTGATAAATAATAATTAAAACATAGCAATGACAGAAAAATTTCTAATATTTTCCGAAAAAGGATAAACATAGAAATTGTGATAGGAAGATGTTATGTTAAGTGGGAATAAAAAATTCCGTACAGAATTAACTAGTAAGTGATGTGTATCTGGGTTTCCCCTTTTTAAAATGTTATCATACATACCTATTAAAGGAACAAACTCTGACGTAGCAGGCATACTTTCAGCAATTAATAACATAAACACCGAGAAGGCTAACAACACAGTAATTCCTAATGTTATTTTTTCACCTGAATCAGGGGGTAACCAAAATCCCAATAAACTGAGAATTGTCAACCACAGACATGGGAATATAATATTAAATAAATAATATAACGTTCTTCTGCGAATTATTATAGTGAATCGAACATCGGGATAAGGTTCCTTGCAACATGCATAATAAACTTCATGTCGAACTACTTTAACATCTATCAAATCCCATTCACCGCTATAAATATAGTTCTCTAAATCCACCCGACCCGAACGATTCACAATGTCCACCTGAAACCCATCATACGTCCACGAACCAAATTTTAACTCACACCTCTGGTCATCAAAAGGAAAATAAGTAATGTCTATCTTGCACGAACTTCTAAATTTTGCGGGAGGGGCCCAAAATACGTTGCCTTTACTCGTAACCATAGCTTTACTTTTCATATACCCCGTCGTAAAATCATCGGCGCTGAAAGATAAATAAAAAATTAAGTTATATTAACTGTTGAACATAAATACTTTGAAAAAAAGTGATTTTATTTAAAGGATGATGAAAACAAATGTGGAGAACAATGTATTCTTTTGCTCACCGAGCAGATCATCGTGATTGATTTAGCACTCACTAAGAGTCAGTCTTATCAATATGCCTTTCAAACCAAGGCAACAAAAACTGTATTTACTGCCTATACTCTTAAAGAATGACTATCATCCGATTTATGTCGAGTGAGAAAACACGACTATATTACCTCAATAGACAAAATTGATGAGCTATCGAGCACTATTTCATAATATTAGAAAAATATTTCATACACCAAGTGCATTTAGTTCTGCTCAATTGCTATGGGTTATTTCCTCCATTGATACAACACAAGGGAAAATAGTTATGGATTACGTGTCTATTCAATTCGATGTCTTTTTATTACATCCATGAAACTCATCGGATAGGATATGTTTGTTTAATAACTAAATTCATTCAATAAGCTTTATAAAATGTGCTGTATTTAGACCAGGATTAATATTCCTAATGCATCGTAGTTTAAGGAGATCGTGAAATCTGATATTGGAAGTACATAGTATTATATCTCAATACACGTAATGAAATTTCCAACAAAAGGGATATTGATTGCATAATATTTCAAGAGTTAGGTGTAATCGTCGGTCAAAACAATTTTTATTACAAGGTTCGCTCAATCCGAAAGCAACGGATTTGTATTGATAAAAAAAAGTCAGCTAATGCATTCTATACCGATACGTTAAAGATTCCAAATCTGTGAAAACGTCAAAGCGCTCAAATAAAAATGCTGTTACAACTATATTTCGACATTTGTATCAACCTTGGACAAAACACTGACCACGTGCTAGTTGTTAATCGTGCATATTTCAAGGACAAAATATTACAGAAGCAATTAACTTTGCTTACAATATTAACAAAAATTTAGAAACTGAGTATTCAAAAGATGTATTTAAGAAATGCGGGTATTCGCCTGATACAGTATGGTGAAGGCCGTTATAAAAGGCCTATATTATGTTTTATTCCAAGCAACCATTGGATACCAATTTCCCCTTGTCGGTGATGCAGGACGGGGTGGAAGGTCTGTCACAGAACAGCGTTAAGTCGGTGAGATGGGAACCGTGTACATAATGGCGGGTACGTGAAAGAACCCTTGACATTTGAATTTGAATAAGAGTAGACCACAGCGTATGCCCTTCCTCATTATCCCGGATAACAGAAAAGTAGGACGTTATAATCCCATTTCATGATGAAGTATTTCATGAATTTGTACAGCAGTTCTATTTTAACTCTACAGTTTCCTGCCGTACTTTGGCCATCCAACGGGATACCATGGCAGCTTTAAAGATATACGTTTTGAACGCACCAAGCTTTATAACCGGCAGATGTAATACATGTATTAGCATTTGATTTAGAGTGGTGGCCCACGTGATGTTTACAGATTTTGGTACATTATTTTGATAAATTATTAAATCTTGCTGATAAATGATTAAATACATAAAAACGTACTAAGAACACCTTCCATTCATATATACGCGGGCAAAAGTGAAATTGTGTCCCATTTTTTTAAATTTTAAAATTTCATTAAATATAATCATTTATAATAAGTGTGCACTGGTACACACAGGTTTCGGATATTTTTTACTTTCTTTTTACACCTTTGGATGTTTATATTTACGTTTTAGTCAGGAAATAAGTGTAAAACAGATCAGGTTAAGGTGACTTTCATAGAAAGCGCCAATTTTCACTTTCAAAGAAGTTTAATAGAGCTCGCAGTATCGTTAGTTATTAATCGTATAGGTCTTGACATATCATTAATCATAAAAATACACCAGGTGAACCCAATATTCAACACGTTATTTTACCCTGAATCCAAGAGGTTTGGATTTTTTTTAAAGCCCGAACGTTTGTTTAAATGTGACGTAAAACAGAGTTTAAAATCATACACGCACATAGGTACTTTTACTTTATTCTATGGCGAATTTATTCAAATCGATCAATTACTATAGTTTAAGTTCTGACCATTTAAAGTTTACATTGGTTACTATCGATTTCACACCGCCATCTTTGTGTGTCGTAGATACAGATAGTAACAATATTTCTGGTAGTCGATTTTTTTTTCATATGACGGTTTGTGTTTTACGCAGATCTGTTTAATTATATAATAACAAAAATCAAAATAGGGCATTGTTTTTGGTTTCGAGGTGGTCACGGTGGCTAAGCGGGTAAGACGCTGGCTTGCTAGGCTGGAGGTCGGCTGTGCGATCCCTGTATTGGCCGAGAAAGTTCATCCAGATTTTCCGGCGTGGTCCCCACTTGTCAGTGATGCAGGACGGAGGGCCTGACAAGGAAAGCTGTCTAGTCGTTCGGATGGGACGAAAACCGAGGTCCCGTGTACAAATAGGTGTGCACGTAAAAGATCCCTTGACAGTTGGAATTCGATATAAGAGTAGGCCTTAGTGCCGCTGTCCGGGCAAAATTTCCCTCATAGCACACTGTAGGCTTATGGCGTATGCACGTCTTCATAAGCCCAATTCGGAGCAGAACAGTAGGACGTTAAACCCCATTTTATTTCATTTCATTTATTTGCTTTCGAGTGATGGGTGAGTTATGTGGTCGTTGGTGGGTTTAAGTTTTTAACCAAAGAATTGGGAACAATTTGATAAAGATGTTAGTTAGTTGTATTTTACGTCCGCTTCCGACGAGGTGATATCGCAGACAAAGATAAAGATATTCCATTACCTGTTATATAGTACGATATCTGGAAGCCATATTTTTTCACAAGGTATACGGAGCACTTCCAGACCATTATAATCACTAGGTTCCCAAAGGAGTCTTTCGTCTTCCCATTCCTGTAATTCACATCAAAGAAAATCAAACTAAAGAAATTAATAAGCCTACTAAATTATATTGTGATTCAATGTCATAAGACCAATATTGATTGAAAATCTCGGAAATTGAGATAATTTCCTTCAATACTTAATTTGCTCTGCCTGCATTCTGAATGATTTTTGTTAAGTCTGCGTAAGGATAAATTGATTCGATGTCATATTCTGAAGTTTGACTTCAGTGTGATCTTTGTCTGCTGAGGGCTGTGACAGACGAAGACATACTAGTCCGCCGTTAAATGTATTTTCTACAGAAAAATGTCTTTAATATTTTAATGTTCTGTAGTGTTTCCAGAAATAACATCTCTTTCATTTCAACAAATATCTTGTTTATTAAATGATGGACAAAAACATATTCAGGTCAGATCGATTTGATCACAAAAGAAGATTTGTTTACCAATTGTCAACGTGATAATCCACGAAACTAGACGTATAATTTGGTCAGAACTAAGCTTATATGCATCAGGAAGTTCATTCACTGGTAAAAATTAATTAGTAAAAAAATGTAATATTGTATGTACGATGCCATGTACAAAGCAAATACATACAGATAGCAAGTGTCCATGTCTCTTGTTGATAATAACAAAGTCTACCATATAAATGCCATCGAACTGCGAATGCCTTAGCCATATTCTTTTTACAATCATACACGACGACCATCTCGCAACAGCTTACGGCTCCCTATGGCTGGACTTAAAAAGGGACCGTTGAGAAGCCCTGCAACAAGTTTGACATATCAGAAATAAACCACGACCGTGCCAAGGTCGCCCTAAATCTTACACCTGAAATGGTTACGGGTAACTGTAGTTCGAATATGTCTGGGGCATAAGCAGAACGACGATATTAACATCATGGTCTGTTACTACCAGGAATTTCACGGTGGCAGAGTAAGTAAGGAGCTGGTTCCCTAAACAAGTTCGCTCCCGGTGTTGGCCGAGAAAGTTCGCTGGGACTTTTCGGCGTTGTTTCCCTTTTCTGTGGTGCAGGACGGATGGGCTGGAATTGGAAATTAAAGTAGGACGTAGCGCAGATGTACAAAGTATCCAGCATAGCACACTGTATGGGGTACGCATGGGGTATGGGGTATGTTAATATTAACATGAGAAATGATAACTTGTTATCAGTACGTAAACATATTTGCTTTGCACATGACTCCAATTAACATCTTATTCGCTAAAACGGCCAGGATTTATTCACCGATTGAGTCTTCTTGTGAAACACCTAAATGGTGTTTTGCCTCTGATAAAAGACACTGTTTTGAGATCAAAAACTTGTTATGAAAGAGATTCGTGAAATAATTTGTTCAATCATTTGGTAATGTGTGATGTACATAATAACAGATACTTTAATGTTCAATGTTCGGGGACCCAAATATGACAGCAAACCTTCCGGGAATAGAGTGCGTAATACGTACAGTAACTAAAAGGTCGTAAATATATTTTAGATCTAAGAAGTTAATGTGTTTCTAGTTCAGACCATCTATCCATCTATATACTGACGTCCAAAAGAAATTATACGAAGAAACTTGCCGTTGGCAGGCATCAAATGCAGGCATACCAGAGGCACCGTGAAGGGTTGATGTTCAATTTTCGGATCAAGAGCAACAAAACTAAGTATTTAATTGTATATGACGACTCCGAATTGTGGTAGAATTCCCCTTAGCAAGGTTGAACAGGCGACCCTACTCCTTGTTACGTATAATTGGGAAATCCAAACCTCGCTAGTTGACTCGATGACAGACCTAAATGATACAGAGCGCACGTGCTAACCATTTGGCCATCCAACCACCCTAGCAAGTTTGAAAAAAGAACCTTCAAAAATAAAATCGTAATTCAGAGGCTATAGAGCATTTACAATAATTATGAACAGAAAGGCATGACAATAAGGGTAAGGACAATATACAATCTACCATATTTCGGGACTAACTTTGATATGGTTCAATTTTATTTCAATAGGGGTCTTTAGCAGTAGGAGGAAACTAGAGAAAACCCACGAGGTTGGACACACCATTTGACTCAATGACAGACCTTATGATACAACGCGCACGCATTAACCCTTCGCTCCCCCACCACCGCCCGAGTAACAATACCAGTACTACAAATGAAAAAACACGGACGACAGTAAACTTTATTAAAAACTAAATTATTAAAATCTAAGTGCATGATCTTTATTAAAACCTACCAGAAAATTACAAATACAGCTTTTTTATTAATTCAGTTTATGTTATCTTACCGGTAAACGACTATGATTAAAATATAAATTAAAGTTATAACCTAGCAAGTTTCATCATTAAAATCTTGATAGCTCTTATCAACAGGTGAATTAATATTATCAAGCTTAAACGAATGTTCACGAAATATATATTAAATTATGTAAGTTAAAAGCGCATAAGACAGTTAAAGTGAGAGCAAGAATAGTACAGCCGTATTTTGTATTTCCTGATTATGATGGTCATTAATATAAACATTTGGTATTATTCTCTTACTAAATTATATTAATGGAGATCTATCTCCCAGATGTCTTTTTATGAATTCTTAACAATATTGTGTAACACTGAACTAAAACAAATCAGAATATTTCGTTTATTTTGCTTCCGGTCAAATCTAAAATCCAATCACCGATGCTGTCATATTCTAACAAACATCAACACTCTAACAGGACGTATTTGAATATAAATATAGGAGTCCAGAATCGCATATCGAGCTATTAATCTGGGGCAGTGTGAACTTGAATCCTTTTTCGTTATTCGTTATTCACCAATAACGAATAACAAATAACGAGGTGACTTTCCTCGTTATTGGCGAATAATGAGGTACAATTTTTTTAAGCTACCTCGTTATTCGTTATTCGTTATTCAACTTTACATTCGGGACTCCAATATGCAGCTAGCCATGACTAGAATGATGGATGCCAAGTATCCCCCAGTAGTATAAAACACAGCAAAACGACCTCAAGACGAAAAACAGTTCACATTGTTATTCAAGCAGCGAATAACGAGCTGTTTGTTATTCGTTTTTCACCTCGTTATTCGGGATTCACATATGAAGGTGTTCATGTATCTTTAATGAAGATATTTCAGGATTTAATTCCAAACGATCACTAGACAACAATAGAATAATGGATTGCAAAGTATCCCCTAGCAGTAGAAAACTTATTAAATGACATATAGTCGGTAAATAAACCAGATTGTTATTCAAGCGGTGAATAACGAGGTGATTTATCTCGTTATTGGCGAATAACGAGGTACAAGCTACCTCGTTATTCGTTATTCTTCATTCAACGTTATATTCTGGATTCCAATAAGCAGTTAGATATGCCTAGAATGATGGATGCCAAGTATCCCCCAATAGTAGTATAAAACACGGCAAAACGACCACTAGACGACAAATAGTCCACATTGCTATATATTTTAAACACCAACCTCACATGTTTAGTGTACGTGTGTTTACGAAGACCACAACAGAGAAGAAAGGGTAATATTTAGCGCAAATCCCTTTTCAGTAATTGGTAAATTATTTTAATAATGCTCAGTAAGGTGTCTAGAGTAACAATTTCCTGCTCCCACAATCCTTTATTTCAAAAGCATTCATTTTATATAACAAAATTTGATCAAACTCAAATTAAGGTTGCATCCAATAATTGATCATTTTTGACAGTCACCTGTGTTTATAACCATTGAAGTTCGTTATTCACATATTATGATTACGCAGCCAGAGGACTGGTTTTTGGTGATTCTGTTTTCATAGCCTGGGGGTTAAGAGGCAATCAGTACGGATTTGATTCCAGAAGAAATTGAACATGTTTAGCACAAAACTTTCGATAACAGTGTCTCGATCTTATCATTTCAAAGACCTACGAATAACCTAATTTGGCTCCGTCCTAATCACCACAAACAACATTCTAATGCTTTCGTTATCTCAACAGTCGGTCTCACCTTTTGAATAAGTTCGCAATTGGCCGTAAAGACAAATCAAATCAGTAAAAGTATCTGAAAATAGCCGTGAGGTTATCCAAATTACACAGTTAGTCCGTAACAAGAGCATACATTTTATTGAGTAAGATGTAGGTATTTTTAAAGTATGCCTCGAGGCGGGAGTTTATCTTTTGACTGAAATCCATTAAAAACGTCATCTAACTGCTAAAATAAAAGAATGGAAATATCAAACCAATGCAAGACTACATCCTGATTACATAGCGTTTTTATATTTTTATCTGTCCAAGTTACAGGAATCACAGAATACTAATAATCATCAATGTGCCAAGTAATTATGTATTAGGCATGTCCACGAATGACTGTGAATTAATTCCATGGTTTCATTCGTCTACTTGAGTAATTTGAGGCCATATTAATCTATCTTGTCAATCACGAACCAGGCCTATAGTTGTAAAAATAATGGCATCCTTAGCGTGCCCTTTATATGACTTCTGAGATCTGAATAGATGGTATCTATCTAGCTTCGACTTGCACAACACACAAAACTTTTGATTGATGCTAGAACCTTGCCTAGTTTCTTGACACAACAATATTTGTAATTATTATTGTTCAGGGACACAATCTGATTATCTCACGGTGGCTTTGATATCGGAACTCAGATATCCTTGATAATCAGAACTATTGGGATCGATTAGCCATTGTTATATTACAAGAAAAGAAAAGTGTCAAAGACAGCCGTCAATAACCTCAAGTCACACATCAATTGCATCTGTTAAGTAGTCCACAATTGAAAAGTTTCAAAAAATTGTGTCCAAAATGTATGTCAAACTCCTTGAAAAAGAAAAAAAAATAAGAATTAAAGTCGTCAGAGTATGATATTAAATCGCTATTCTTTAGACCTAGAAATGGACACAAATGGGTCGCAAAGCATATAATAATGTAATATGAATGTATATAAACTGATGTACACGCAAATCGTTTTAGTTTTTACTCTAATTTCTAATCAGTTGTTCGGCGAAATACGCGAAGA